GCTGGTTCAGGGGGGTCAGGAATGGGGCACGGGGCCTGTCCCCTCTAGGGGGCACCGGCTCCCATCTGGGCCCAGGGCAGGGACTGGCTGGTTCAGGGGGGTCAGGAATGGGGCACGGGGCCTGTCCCCTCTAGGGGGCACCGGCTCCCATCTGGGCCCAGGGCAGGGACTGGCTGGTTCAGGGGGGTCAGGAATGGGGCACGGGGCCTGTCCCCTCTAGGGGGCGCTGGCTCCCATCCGGCCCCAGGGCAGGGACTGGCTGGCTCAGCGGGGTGGGGAATGGGGCACAGGGGCCTGTCTCCTCTAGGGGGCACCGGCTCCCATCTGGGCCCAGGGCAGGGACTGGCTGGTTCAGGGGGGTCAGGAATGGGGCACGGGGCCTGTCCCCTCTAGGGGGCACCGGCTCCCACCCGGCCCCAGGGCAGGGACTGGCTGGTTCAGGGGGGCAGGGAATGGGACATGACGCTATGGGGGACTAATATTTCTTCCCCCTGCCTGTGATCCTGACTAGGGCCCCCCAGGCCTGCCGGCTCTGAAGAAAAAGGTCCCAGCCCCGAATGGGACCCAGTGGAACGGCTCCGAGGGGCTTGGCCTAGACCCCAATGAGAGAGGTAAGGAGCCCCCTATATGTTAGGGGAGAGGGGCAGTACCCCATGGAGACCCCAGGACCTGCCCCCTATGTGTGGGGGGAATGGGATCCCCCATAAAGACCCCAGGCCCTGCCCCTTGTGGTGTGTGTGGGGGGAGGCCGGGGGAGGGGCTGTATCCCAGAGGGGTCCCCAGGCCCCGCCCCTTTCCCGGTGCATGCTGGGTAACGGGCAGCTCTCCCGTCCCGCAGAGCGGCTGAACGAGGAGCTGCTGCAGCGCCTGGCGGCCGGCCGGGGCACCCCCGCCAAGCCCTTCCTGGTGCACCGGACGCCGGACACGGCGGTGCCGCTGGACCACGACTCCGACCCCGCCCAGGTCCAGGCCTGGCTGAAGGCCAAGGGCTTCGAGCCCCTGTGAGTGGGCCTTGGGCACTGGGACAGGCGCGGGCACATGGGCGCGCTCTGATTGGCTAGCTTGATACGCCTCTGCTTCCCCATTGGCTGGCTCGGCACCTCCTGGCTTCTGACTGGCGGGGGCATCCCGCCATCCTCTGCTTGCCAGCCCTATGTCCACTCTGATTGGCTGGCTCGGCAGTTCCTGGCTTCTGATTGGTTAGGGGGAGGGCTGCGACATTGTGGCTGTCTGATACGTCCTTTCTCTCTGCTCTGATTGGCTGGTCTGGAGCCTCTTGGCTTCTAATTGGCTTGTGGAACTCACAACCCCCCCCCCCCGTGATTGCTTGAATCAACTTTCCTCTCCACTCTGATTGGCTGGTTCTTCCCTGCTGGAGGAGCCCACTTCTCCTCTTGCTGCTCCCTGATTGGTGGTGGCTCAGAATCGCCACCTGCGATTGGTCGGCTGGATCCCAGGTGAGCTGTGATTGGGTGGTGCCTTCCCATGGAATCCTTCATGATCGCATTTCATTGGACAGCCGGCAAAGCGGCAAAAAGATGCTAATAATTAATTGGACCAATCAGAAAAGAGGATGGGGGGACATTAACCAATCACGTGGCAGCTGAGATGTGGATGTGTGGTGCTGTTTAAAGTCTCTCTTGCCTCAGTGTCCACCAGCGTCATGGCTGGGGGCACTGCTGGGGGGAAGCTCGCAGCACTGGGAGGGTCACCGGCTGGGGGCATTGCTGGGGGAAGCATGCAGCACTGGGATCTACAGTTGGGGACACTGCTGGGGGGAAGCTCGCTGCACTGGGAGGGTCCCCGGCTGCAGCCACTGCTGTGGGGAAGTTTGCAGCATGGGAGGGTCACTGCCTGGGGGGAAGCTCGCAGTGGCGGGATGGGGGGTATCAGTGGGAGGGACTCTGTGGGGCACTTGGCCTGACTGTCCCCCCGCCTCCCCCCCAGGACGGTGAGCACCCTGGGGGTGCTGAACGGGTCCCAGCTCTTCTCGCTGTGCAAAGCCGAGTTCCAGGCCGTCAGCCCCGAGGAGGGAGCCAGAGTCTACAGCCAGGTCACCGTACACAAGGCCATGCTGGAGGTACCACAATCTGCCCCTAGGACTCCTGGGTTCTCTCCCAGGCTCTGGGGGGAGTGGAGTCTAGTGGTTAGAGCAGGGGAGGGGGCTGGGCACCAGGACTCCTGGGTTCTCTCCCGGCTCGGGGAAGGGGCTGCGGGTACCTAGAGCGGTGACTAACGCCCTCTTTGCCCTCCCAGGACTTTAAGAAAACCTCTGAACTGGAAGCCGTGATGGAGAAACGGAAGAGGAAATTGGAGGGCAAGACAGAAGCATCCCGCTCGTGAGGAAGCCACGGACACGGTGCCCCCCCAGCTGGCAGAGCTCCCCCCACTGGCGAGGGTGCTGCTTGGGGGAGCTGGACCACCGGACCCCCACCCGGCTCACAGACTCCCCCCTCCCCAACTCTCTGAGGGTGTCTCCCCAAACTAGACACGCTAAGGACCTCTGCATGGGTATAGATTTCTTCACGGGCATCTGGCTACCACCTGCTCCATTCGGGCTACCACGCCTCTTAAAGGAACAGCCCCCAGCGCATATGTGCCGCTCATTCCAATTTCCTACCTCCGGGCGTCTTTTTGTTGTTGTTGTTGTTTTTTTACTTCCACTATTTATTTAAGAATGGGGTCAAACTTTAAAATTTAGCGTCTCCCCTTCTCCCTCCAAATGGTATGACCTCCCTTGTCCACAATCCCCCCTCTGTTCCCCCTTAAGTGGTACAACTCCTATACTCCAACCCCCCTGAATTTTGACCCAAGTGGTACAGCCCCCCAGTCTGCACAGTCCCCCACCCCCATGGTATAATCTCCAACATCCCCTTTACCTCTGAAGTGGTATGTCCCACCATTTTCTCCCCCCAAATGGTACAGCCACCACCACCCCTGTTTCTTCTCAATTGGTATGTACCCTACTCTCCACAATCTTCCCCCCATTTCCACCTAACTGGTATGACTCCCCAGCCTTAGAAACCCCCTATTGCCCCCTAAGTGGTACAACCTCAGTCTCCACAGTGCCCCCTCCATGTCCTCCCCCAGAAATGGTATGACCCCCTCCCCATTGTTCAGCCCCCACCAATGGACCCAACCCACCCACCTCCTGTTCTGATTGGTGCAGACCTGAGGCTAGGGGGCGCAGCAGGGACTCAGAGGACCTCATTGCATGCAGTACCCCCTGCGGCCACCAGAGGGGGACGCTCTGTGCTAGTCAGAGCTGCAGCGCCACCAGTCCTAAGGTTGCTTAACAGTTTCCATTCCCAGCCCCCTTTTTGGGGGGCTGCTTATAACTCAGCCAAACCAAAACGGCCGGGGCTGAAAGTTCCCAGCTCTGTAGCAGGCTGGGTTGGGGGTGGGGGGGCCTATTCGGGGCGAATGGATTCAGCCATTTTCGAGAGGGAGGCTGACAGGAGGGAGACCCACACGTTCAGGTTCAGCCCGCGGGGGCGCCGTGATGCGGTTGGATGGCTCAATTCCACACCACTACGTGCCCTTCGGCGCAGCTCGGCTACTGGCTACTGGTGGTTGACTCTCCCCACCCCCCAAAAACAGGAGGGGGAAAAGCAATAAATAGTGGGAAATGTTGACCCTTCAGGGCCTTTTCACAAGTGCAATATTTATACGGGTGATGAATCTGGGGAGCGTGAATAAAACATGCTGCAAATGTGAGGCTCGCGTGTGGTCTGAATTATGGGGTGCCTGAGCCTGAGAGCGGGGCCCAGAGGGGAACAGCCCCATTCCCTGCCCCCTGAGCCAGCCAGTCCCTGCCACTCAAGCCAGCCAGTCCCTGCTCTAGGGCCAGGTGGGAGCCGGCACCCACTAGAGGGATAAGGCCCTGTGACCCATTCCCGGCCCCCTGAGCCAGCCAATCCCTGCCCTGGGGCCAGGAGGGAGCCGGTGCCCCCTAGAGGGGAAAGGCCCCGTGCCCCATTCCCAGCCTCTCCCAGCCAATCTTCGAGAGTTCCTCAAACTGGACAGCTGGTGTCGCCGACTCACGTTTTCTGATTCTCTGCCCCAGTTAGGGTCACATCAATAGGACTCCTGGGTTCTCTCCCATCGAGGGAAAGGGAGGGGAGGGGAGGGGGGTCTACTGGTTAGAGCAGGGACCAGCCCTGCGCGGCTCGGGCCGGATGTTTAAAGAGCAGATTCCTCTCATTCCTGATGGGCTGCCCTGGCCTGGGAGGGAGGGGGGTTGAACCGCAGAACAGCAGCAGGGCATTCTGGGAAATCACAGTCTCTCTCTCTCTCTCTCTCTCTCTCTTTCTTTTCTTCTTTCCCTCCATTATTTTTCTATCTCCTCCATCCCTGGGATTCCTTCTTTCTTCTCCTCCTTGTCTCATTCAATCTCCCCCCTCCCTCCACTGTTACACTGTGGGGAGCCCAGGACTGGGCTAGCAGGGGGCTGCGGGTCGGGAGTGAGGGGCACCGGCAGGGCTGGGGGTGGGAGCAGGGCTGGGCAGGGGCTGCGGGTCGGGAGTGAGGGGCACCGGCAGGGCTGGGGGGGGGCCGGGGACGGGGCGGGCAGGGC